CCCTTTGCTCCTAGTAGCTTCTTGTTCCTAGTAACGATGCCAGGAGCTCCTAATAGCGTCCTTGTTACTAGTAGCAATGCCCTTCGCTCCTAGTTCTTGCTCCTAGTAGCGATGCCAGGAGCCCCTGATAGCGTCCTGTCCTTGCTACTAGTAGCAATGCCCTTTGCGCCTAGTAGCGATGCCCTTTGCTCCTAGTAGTTTTTTGTTCCTAGTAGCGACGCCAGGAGGCCCTAATAGCGTCCGTGTTATAGGGACGTGCGTTTTGGACTATATGCATGCGTCAGATTTGGCGCCGGGAGGTTGACCACCCTCTGCCTCCCGGCGCCTATTTTGCCTTAGCGTGTGGTTAACATGAGCTACCCAGAGATTGGAAGCTGGGGACACCAATGTGTCTTTGGCAATGAATATGTTGTAGATGCTCTGAGTTTTTCCAAACCACTACACCCATCGAGTTAAGCCCGTGTTCTAAGCAAGAATGCACGGTCACTCCGAAATGAGAATTTGGGACCGCTTATTTTGCACTCTGACCTCTCAAGATGCTCCCTTTCATGATTTTGATTTTAGAATGCAGATTTCCCTGACACAGATTTAAAAATCAATAAAATGTGGATTGGCAGGAATGCATGTCAGGAGTTGCAAGTTTTTTGAACTTGTACCGGCCGGTCGGTGTCTTGCTTTAGACACAATCATGTTGTCGCATTTCAAGGGCGAAAAAAAATATATCTACATTATTGAGAGTCAGAAGTAGAATCCGAAGTTCTCCACATGGTAGAGTGGAGATTCTCACTTCTGTATGTTTGTTGTAAAGTTGTCCAATCAATGTGAAAATATGCGACTATATGTTAAGTTGTGCACAAGATAATTGCACTATTGTATGGGCCCAATCTGCGAGCCATGTACCAAATTCTCCAGCTGCTACACTTGGTAGCGCTGCCTTGCGACTCAGAAAGTGGCTTGTGCATAAAGGAGAGTCATGTGCAATGGTTAATCGGCCTGGGCATTGATTCAGAAGTGACCCTTGGCCTGTTAACCAGTGACCCAGAAGCTTCAATTCTATTTTTGGAGTTTTGGACTCTAAGACTCTAAGACTTTTAGGACTCTGACTCTGAGGACTCTCAATTTGGGATCTCCAGTGATCTCCAGGATCTAGGACCTAGGAACTTCAACCCTGACTGACACTAGGATCAGAATGGACAAAACATTAAAAGCAACTCTTCGCAGATTCAATAATCAGAACATCAAAAGCCTTTTGGGCCAAACAACCACATAACATAACATAGCAATCCAAGCCAAGCCGGGTCATTTTCTCAGGAGCCGGGCCCCATCATCAGCTGCAAAACTAGAGTATGTGCTCAAACGTCGAGCTGGTTGGTTCTTCCAAGCGGACCTTGCTGGGAAGCTTCGGGTGCGGAGCAATTATTTTGATGTGTCAATTGTTCCAGCATTCTTGGATCAAGTTCTGAATATTCAGCTGGATCGCACTGAGTGGGGAAAGGTGCTGAGCCAAGCTGTAGAAAAAATCTATTCCGAAAAAGCCACAGAGTCAGGAACTGACTCATGGGTTGAGGCTGAGGTTGGATGCGGATTGGAGCCTGATTCTTTTTCGGTCGCCTCTTCCTCGCAATTTGCTGGTGGTGCTGCTTCAGCTGCTTCTACACCTCGCAGCAGTGTTTGCGATTCAGTGTCAGTGTCAGCTGCAGCTTCAGTTTCAGAGCGAGATGCCATGAGGATTAAAGACTTGGAGAATCAGTTGGAGCAGGTGCAAATGGCCGCCTGGTTGTCTTAATGTGTTCCCATCTTTCCTTCTTGCAGGGTTGGGTGTGGGTCGTGGGTGTGACCCTGGCTGCTGCAATATCTACTGAGCTAGTCTGCTAGTGTACTAGTATATTGCAGTTTTATTATTACTTGCTTACTGCTTACTGCGCTCTTTGGGCAAAGGTTCTGGTTAATTCTTCATTGCCTTTGATTCATTGATTATTTGCTTTGTTTTTCTGTGAATTGTTGTTGTCTAAGTTTATGCTTCTTTCTTATTCAACAAACAAGTGTCATTCTATCATGACAGATCAGGAATATGGTGACCGGTTCAAAGTTCAAGACGTGATTCTTGTGACACTGGTAGAATTTGGTTCCATTCACGCTCACACGCTCACACACTCGATGCATCAATGCATCAAATCAAATCGTCAAACATAAGGAACAAATCTAGTGTACTTTGCATCTTTGTTCCTTTATGCTGGATTTGGGTACCACTTCGAAATTGCCGGTCTGGCAAAAATGTGAAACATTGTTACCAAAAGGTTGCATCCGCTTTAATTTCTTTGATGGCAATCGTTTCTTCTCCCTCTCTCTCTTTTAGAGCTTAGGAGAACAAGCGGAAAAACAAGAGGCTCCAAAAATTGGACCGTATTCTACGGGAGAATCGAGCCCTAAAGACACAGCTTGGACGAGTCAAGAAGCAGCGTGACGATCTGCGAATTGAACTGAAAAGCAAGAACAAATCTGCAGAAGACAATGACGAAGCTTGTTTGGAAATTCGTCGTTCCAAAGGTGGTAAGCAGCTTTCTTTGCAAGGTTCTTTCGCATTGGCAATTCGGCGAAACTTGTCGAACATCTCCACTTCGGATATAGGAGCTGTACTGTTGCAAGATCTGTCTCGGTTCACAGTGGTACGAGCAGAATGCAGGGCTGGCAATGCATTGGTTGCTTCAAGCCGCATGTGGCATGACTGGATCTATTCAGAGGTTACATCCTTCCCTGAGGACTTTTCTTTGGCAATCCACTGCTACAAGCAAGATGCAACAAATAGCGGTATTCTCAAGAACTCTAAGCTCGCGGGGTTAATCTTGCACAGCGCATTCTTTCGGGACACTGACTGTGGGTCCCAGTCGGAGCCGGAGCTGACAGATGTGGATTGGACCAATTGGGAGTTTGAGAACTGGTTTGAGCACATTGTCCGGGTGGCTGACATTCTCCCAGTTCGCAGTGGAACTTCAGAAGCTACAGTTGCCCAAACCATCAAGCAACTTGAAAGCTTGGGCTGCCGGACATGGAAATCCGTTCAGGGTGACCCAGATTTGCAGAGGTGGCTTGTTTCAGAAAGACTGCATGTGCTTTTTCTTGGGCGGCAGGTTCAGGTTCCTTATCATACCTTATCATACCTTATCTCATGTCACTCATGTGGACTATTGGACTATTGGAAAACTATTCCTATCCCTGGTCGTTGCTAGCGCTCTTACAACTTTTACTTTTACCCTTTTACCCTTACCTTTATCCCTTGAGTCTGACTTTGTCTAGCGGAGTCTAGCGGTCTGAGTCTGTATTCTGTTTAGGTCTGTAACTGGTACTGGTAACTGTAACTGTCAGTTTGGCAAGCAATGGCTGCTATGGCATTGTGGCATTGCAACATATCCGTCGCATATTGCACGCAGGTGGGCAGGCAAGCAAGCAAGGTAGCCAGCAAGCAGCCTCAGGATAGGTCATCCTCAGGAGAGTCATCCAAGGGCAAACTCAACATCAACATCAGAATCAACTTGGCAAAAGTCGGCGACGCGGCGACCCACGACCCAGCGATAGCGATGGTCAGAGTCATAATTAGAGTCATAGTTGGAGCCATAGTCGTAGTCAGTTGTCAGTCTGTCTGTGGAGTTTCGGCTTTGCCTGTGGCTCTGGCCGTTCATTGTCCCTTAGTCCATTAGTAAACCACGAACAAACAAAAATATCAAAGCGTAGGCACCACAAATGGCACAAATGCAAAAACACCTTACATGAATCATGCATCTTACAACTATTGATCACTATCACTGAGACTAATTCTGATCACTAAAAACCCATCAATCTATAAGTTTATCGTATTCGTATGTTGCTTTGTTTTAATATTAATCTATACATAGTCGTACATAGTCTGACACTATGAGTCTATGAGTCTACGGTCTACGGTTCGACGGTTGGTTGGCTGACACGGCTGACATGCTGACAAAACACCTCACACGTTCGGTCTTTGTCGTCGTCGTTGGCGCCAGGAAGAACACCATTCACTTTTACACAGCTACGACGGATGCAGGTTCAAACGAAATGGGAGCTCGCAAAATCATTCGGGCGGATACACGTGACCTTGCAAACGTTGTTTTCTTCGAGTGCACCTGCCTAGAACATTCTCAGCACTTGGTATCACTTTCTGCATTGAAGACGGCGGATCAAAATTTGAAAGGAATTCGTGAGTGGACCTACTACTCCAGTCTGGCAACCACAGCCAATGTTTTGCGGGATGTGAGTCAAGACTTGTATGCAACTTGGACAGCTGTACATGGACCGGAGTCTGCCAAGAAATCCGTCAAGTCATTGTTTCCAAAGGCTTGCAGCGGCCGCTGGTCTGGTTGTGAACGAGCAGAACAGCGATTTCTGCAGTGTGGCCAGGAGAGGCTTGCGCCTATTTTGACAGAAGTCCTCACCCGGAAAATGAAGAAGGATGCTAGCTCTGACTCCAAGAATCGTCAACCTTCAATCAATGACATTGCGATTGAGGCTTGCAAGGAATACTCCGAACGTATGGGAAGATGGCGAAGACGCAGCCTTGAATGTGTCAAGGATGGGCTATGGTGGCGCGTGTTGAAAATTATGAATGCCACTCGACAACCTCTGGCGCACTTCAGCAATCTTCTTCATAGGCTGCAAAAAGAATGGAATCATATCCCTCAGTTGGCCATGGGAAAAGTCAAATCCATTGCAGAGGAGTTCTATCAAGCTTGGGAGCAGCTTGTGCAGTGCGGGTGTGTGGTTGGGGACGATGACGAATCCAAGTTTGTGCG